TTTGGGCTATCTGATTTGGGGATCCTCCAATTGGGCTTCACTCCTTGGGCTGTTCGATTTGGACTGAATTTTTATGTGTCAACAATTACCCCCCAATATGGCAGAATTAATAATAATTATTAAATTTTGCCATATTCACTTTGTGTTTCCAGCAACATTCAAAATTTCAAAGAATTTCAATCATTGTTTTCTTCTATAACTTGAAAAGGTGCGTCGTTTTGCAAACCCTTATAAACCCCAAACACGCCATTTCATTGCACCATTAAATCACGCCTCAAAATTTTTTGCTTCTCTCTCACGATTTACTGTTCATCTCTTGCTTCCCTGCTACGTAACCCTGAAAAATTTCGTTCCTTCTCAAATGGCTGCTTCACAATCTCAAGCTGGCGACTCCTTTAGTTTTGATGACTTTCAGAAACTTCTGAGTCGCCCATACATAACTCCAAGTTTTATCGCGCCCGCCGATGTCGAACGTAATGAGTTCTACTTGGGTCCTTTCTTAACAATGCAGAGGCAGTTGAACAGGCGACGGTGGGTCAGCTGTTTCCTTGCACTCATGGTCCTCCTTTTCTAAACTCTCTGCCGCTGGGGCCACTTCGCGAAAGAAGTATTCGCACTTGGCCTAAATCTGATGTAGCTTTTCGTAGGTGGCATGCTCGCCTTGTGGGTCATGGTCCTACTAAGGCACTTTTTGATAGCGCTAGGATTTCTGATTTGTTAGAAATCTCTATTCGCCCTCCTACTTTTGATTTAGTACTCTTTTCGATTGCTTTGAGTTTTTGGTCTCCTGAGTATAACACCTTTATTTTCCCTCTTGACCCCATGTCTATTACTTTAAGGGATCTTGGGGCCCTGGTGAATCTACCACCTTTGGGCGATACCATTTTTCCTGGTATATTGGTTTCTGGTGGCGCCCCAAAATTTGGTAAAAACTACACCGATTCTTATTCAAGCCTACAGACCCTTCACAATCATTCGAGCGCTGAGCCTTCCCATACTGAGCGAGTGGCCTTCCTTTTAGTTTGGCTTTGTAAATATGTTTTGTGCGTGTCAAGCATAAAGCCCTCCCTGAGTTATTTACCTATAGCGCACGAATTGGTGTGTGGCAGGCCTTTGAATTTATGTTCTTTGTTTTTGGCTGCCTTTTATAGAGGCATGGCCTCTATTCAAGCTCAATTGAAGAATGGTGCATCTCCCACTGGCAGTGGACAAAGTTCACTCAACTGTGGTTGAAATCCTATTTTCCATCGCTTGGTGCTCCATCCATCTCTCGCTCCTCTGCTAGCTGTTATGGGCTAGCCATGGAGCCCTTATCTCCTGTAAATATGTCCAGAAGAGACATTTTTTCATTCTTTTATTCTTTGGATTCAATCCCTTCCTTTTTTCCTTTTCTTCCTTTTTTAACTCCAAACTATGTACATCCCCCTTCCACTATAGATAGCGCGAGCACCTCCCTGCTCATTTGGATCCAATTTTTAACCGGGAGGGAGCTATTTCATGATATTCTAACTGGGACCAATGCCAAAGCGGGGGTAGAGATTTATGCTCCCCAATTTTTTGCTCGTCAGCTTGGTTTTGGCCAAACTTGGCATGTTCCTCCTTGCTATTCAAGGAACTTAGTTGACCGTTTTTATACCATTACTAAGGCGGAGGCAGAGGCTATAGATGCTCGTAATCTTCTTTTAACCAGCCATTTTTCATTGGCCCCCTTCAATTCTAGCCACGCCATTCACCCTCTTTTTGAACAACTCTGACCGTCGGTGAAGCGCAGATTATTTGCGACTAACACCAATCGTGCCTTTCATTCATTAGACCAACCGAGCATTTCTTCTCCTCTTCCTGTTTTAGTCACTCCTTTGTCTGTTCGGAGCCCTTCTCCTT